AATAAATAGTAACCAAACTTCTGAATTGTGATCTCGCCTAGTACTGAGATAGAGTTGTGTTATGTTATGTTGATTGTCATGCAGTCGGGCCATCCTGTCGACGTTTGAATGGGCATTTTGTCCACCTGTCAAACTCCCACTACTCAACCATAAATAGTATGAGCTTTTGGTGATTTTCGATGCCTTTATAAATCCAAACTGTTTGCGTGAGCGAGCGAGCGACAAAATCACGCCAACCCCACATTGTGGTAAACGATTCTATACGACAAAAACGTCTCGGAAGCCGTCGGCCGTCGTCTCGCACCACTTGCAGTTGGAGTCGCACACGGGCCGGAGGCAACCATAAGGCGTCAGATAATGAAACCAGAAGACCCACAGGCCGCGGCAAGAAACAGCTGGAGTTGTCTATGGGATATGGTGCAGTGGTAGACAAAAAAAAACTACATCGGAGAAACGGGAAGGTTTCTCAAGGAACGAATTGCTGAACATGCAGCAGCAGCAGCAGTGCGGTGAAATTATGCCAATTCCCAAGCCACGGCTCATACAACGAGGCCAGGCCACACGTTCAAATTTAATTAGGCCAAAATGCTGGCAAGAGGTGACAATCGTGTGGGTCACGAGTTACTTGAGTCAGGGTGCACGGCTCCCCAGTATACAAACAAGTAAAAAGACCCACCAAACCCATATCAGGGCTGAGGCGCAGTTTGGCCAAGGCAATTCGCCAGTAGGTGAAGGCACGCACTAAGGCATCTTCCAATGCCTACAGCACCAGAGAGCCATATGGCCGGGCAATCACACCCAATTGATGACAGTTCGGCACGCAGGCTGGCCATCAAGCCATTAGCGCACATGCGGGCTACTATCCTCGATGGAAAGGGGGGAGTCATTAATTACGGCAGGTATGCAGGAGGACAGCGGCGACTGCATCCTATATATACCCTGCACTTCCCTGGATATGGATTACCCGCTTCTGCTATAATCTCCGATGAAGCATCCGCGACGAAATCCGAAACGTCAGGCGAATAAAGCTCTTGTCCGCAGCGATCACATCTTCTTCTACTCAATTACTTTTTTGGAGTTCGAATTTTAATCTGCTATGGAGAAATGGAACTGTATGAAGTCAGGGTGCGTTTTAAGCTGATCGAAATCTTGGTCGAGATGCAGTGATACCAGCAAACACTTGGACGAACTTTCGATAGTGAGACACGAGGCCGCGAAAGCTCTCGGTGTCGGCCACGCACATGCGGAGGAAATCTTTGATCTTTGGGTATGACTGGCTGATGGCCGTTCCGGTCTCCCTTTGCTTTGTCGGATCCCTTTCATTCTTTCCTACTAGTCGCTATGCGACTGCCTCCAATGTGAGCTCCAGGGCAAACAAGAACTTAATTTTTCCAATGCCAGATCGGCGATGTCCACATATTTATCATATTCTCGATGCCAACCAACAAAGCAACAGGCCTGTGGTGCAATGGTAGAGTGGTAGACTCAATGACCAAAGGTCCCGGGTTTTAATCTCGGAGGTCGCCACGCCTGGGATTGGGTATGATTGGGTAATGACGGCTAATAGGCCAGAAATGGCCATTCCGGTGTCCCTTACAAGGAAATTTTGTCTGGATCTTGTTGTACACGCCAGAGCCCACAGGATGTACCGCAAAAAAAATACGCCTTCAGCAATTGACGCAGCAAGAAAACAGCCTAAAGCCGAGGGGCGGGGGGATGACGTGAGGGTACGCTTTACGCTGATCGAAGGCATGCTCAGTAAGGTGGCGCAGTGATACCAGCGAACCCTACCACACGAACCTCCGGTAATGAGACGCGAGGCCCAAAAAGCTTAGGGCTTTGGGTGTCGGCCATGCATATACACGGGCAATCCTGCCTGGATCTGGTTGTACACGTCAGATCCCACAGAATGTAACCCCAGAAACAAATAGGCCTTTAGTAATTGACGCAGCAAGGCAACAGTCTGAAACCGAGGGACAGGGGGGATAGGCGTTGGGAACGTACCTAGGATCACCTCCGGCGCCCTGTAGTGACGCGTAGAGACGATGGTGGAGTGATGGTCATAA